TCTTCCTTCTGAGGAGGCTGAGGTCCTTCTGAGGAGGCTGAGGTTCTTCTGAGGAGGCTGAGGTCCTTCGGAGTGAGCAGGCCTCTGCTCAGGACTTTTTATGACTCTGTGGTAGCCTCAGCCATATACTACGCTGCCGTGTGCTGGGCCCCGGGCAGCACAGAGCGGGACAGAAACAGACTGAACAAGCTGGTCAGGAGGGCCAGCTCCACTCTGGGCTGCTCCCTGGACTCTGTGGAGGAGGTGAGGGACAGGAGGCCCCTGGACTCTGGAGGATGTGAGGGATAGGAGGCCCCTGGACTCTGGAGGATGTGAGGGATAGGAGGCCCCTGGACTCTGGAGGATGTGAGGGACAGGAGGCCCCTGGACTCTGGAGGATGTGAGGGACAGGAGGCCCCTGGACTCTGTGAAGGAGGTGAGGGACAGGAGGCCCCTGGACTCTGTGAAGGAGGTGAGGGACAGGAGGCCCCTGGACTCTGTGGAGAAGGTGAGGGACAGGAGGCCCCTGGACTCTGTGGAGGAGGTGAGGGACAGGAGGCCCCTGGACTCTGTGGAGGAGGTGAGGGACAGGAGGTGCTAGTCAAAGCCACCTCCATCATGAACAATACCTCCCACCCACTGCACAGGACTGAGGAGGAGCTGAGGAGCTCCTTCAGTGGAAGACTGAGACACCCTCAGTGTAGGAAGGAGCGCTACCGCAGGGCCTTTATCCCCACCGCTGTCAGACTGTACAACAAGTCACTTTAAGTCACTGCACTAAGACTGATAAAACCTGCACTAGTATTGACACTTTGTCTCATTGCCACTTTAAAATTGACACTTTTTTGTACATAATATGTCCTGTCCTGTTTGCACATTTCTTAGTTTCTGCACAATCTGAGTGTTTCTATCTAAGCCAAACGTGACATGTAAATTACTCTTGTGTGAGATTAATAAAGTACATCTTATCTTATCTCTGCGAAGTAGCAGCTATATGTTTTAAGGCAGTAAAACCCCTCACCACACACTTTTCTAACTATCTGAACAATCGACTGAAGTGTGATCACGGAGATATCAAACCTGTAAGTCTGAGCGCCGTCTGACTTCTGCCGTACATACAGTGTTAAACACGTGCTGAGGGGTGAACCTGGAACTATTCATTCACTCTACACTGGAGGAAACACTGAGCGTTCTGACCAATCAGCACAGACTGTAGAGGGCAGCACTGCGCTAGTGCACAGCCTGCAATAAGTATAAGAAGGAGATGCCAAGGGCCACCCTGCGCACACCCAGATTAGAGCAGACAAAAACGAGCTGAATTTAACTTTTTTTTAAAGTTCAGGATAACAAGGGACACCTTTGAGAAAGCTGTAGGTTCTATGACAACTGCTCCAATGTCGCTCTGTGAGACCAGGAGAACCAGAGCGGAGTCACAACATCCTATCTTAAGAATAAGGCGTCTGATGGAAGAAAGCCGAACGTTTAGTTGCCACATGATTCCATTAGAGTTTACTAGAGACAAATAAGCAGCAGTCGACTGGCGTCGCTATTGTTTGATATGGAGCGGCCCGTGCCAAAGTACGCAGGCGTCCTTCCACGATCTCCAAAAACACTAACTCTCTGCAAGATTTACATCCTCTTTACAAGCAGCACAACGTGAGAAGGACTTTTTATCAGAGAAATGAAAGGCCTCTCCCTACTGTCCTTACAGATGGTTACAATTCTTAATTATCTATAATAATGGTCCGGGGTTTCCCCGGTTTAAGCAGAAAAGGGGAGAAGAGGATCAATGCACCTTCTACACTGTGGCCTGCGGATCCTCTTTGCGTTATTGGAGATTATATTTCTTCTAATCAAAAGCCTTATTTGTTTCATTAACAAAAAGGTATGGAACAAAGTGTATTTCTGTTTTTATAAAGGATCACAGTTTAGGGACTCGTGGTTGAGATTCATTGTTTTCATGGGCATTTATTTGCATGTTTTTATGGTATAACCAAGATGGTTTCCAAGATGGCTGCCATAAAAGTTAAATTACTTAACACCTCAACAACTAATACAGATAGAGACATGGTTTTCTTGTTCTTTTCTATATTTTTGTGGAAGGAATTAAGTCACAATTTTATATTTAATCAGATTGACACTAATTAAGGAGCTTCTGAACGGCTCTTGGGAGAGCCAAAACAAAAGTGTTACTGTACTTCAATCAACTGTAATTGTTTTTGCTTGAGAGATGTCAAATTCTGCACTTTGAGCCTTAATTTCACCCCCTGAACATGCAGGAAAAGTTGTAAAATTTTGCCCAAAAATCAGACCTGGTGAAAAATTGGATATTTTGGTGTTTATTTTTATGGGACTCAAAAAATGCCAGAACAGCGCCACCTACAACAGCCAAAATAATACCCCTATGGGACTTTTGGAGATCAAGTTTGTCGTAGAGCCATGAAATTCGGTACACATGTTCCTCAAGTCAAGACAAGATTTTTTTTTTATTATGGCCCTGCCCTCTGACAAACAGGAAGCCCATGAATTTCACTGCAAAATGGAAAAATGAACAGCAAAAGCTTTCATACATGTCGGTTGGAACTCTTCTCCTCCTCGGCCGTTTCACCTGACAACATACATTCCCAGTGCTTCGGAAAAAAAAAAAAGGCGTATTTGCTGAGGAATTCAGAAACTATTGGTTAAATAAACGACTATACACCATATATTCAGTAGATTTTAGAACATTTGTAGAACCATTGTCACCAACTGTGGGTACAGGATCTCCTTGAGGGACACAAGGGTATTACAGGGGGTACTTTAAATGATTTTCAAAACTAGCAAACATTGATACAGAAATATTGGCAATTAAGGCATGTTATACATAATTTTATAGGTAATCTCTAGAAATAAAACACATGAGCCTATTATAAACCTTGAACCATGGATGTATTAAATCATCTAGACAGGGAATTGACAGCTTAAACCCGTCTCCATCCACGACACTGCTGCTTAAATTCACAGAGATTTTCCCCATAGACCCCACTGTTAGCAGAAAACAATGGGAACCTACGGTTTCATAAAGGTCAGATTTTGTGGAGGATTTAGTGTTCCTTGTCATCCTGAACATTGATTATTTTGAGATCCATTAGTTTTCGCTTTTGTCCCACTCTTGCCCTGCTCTGATCAGCGGCGTGCTGATTGGTCGGAACGCTCACGTGTTACTCTGGTCTTGTGAAAGTAGAACCACTAACTATGCACCTACTGCATAAGACCGGGAGAACCAGAGCCGGCCAAAATGGACCATTGCCATGGAGCAATGATTTGAATGGGCGGACATCTTGGAAACGTGGGCTTGCCCTGAACCCAGTACTCAATAATAATAATCACTCATCAAGCATCTCTTAATCTTCAACTTCATAAGAAAACAGTTTGTAAGAAATCTTCACTTTTTAGGTGCACCAGCTGCTTGTGACCTAAATATCTGTTGATTTGGAGAAATTTCTGACGGGTAAAAACATATTCCATCCTCGGCACTGCTGTATAATGACAGCAGAATGAATCATTTTAAATAAAAAACAATGTGACAAGTCACATGGGTGTGTTCACAGTAAAGTGTTAAAGTATCTGGATTTTTACTGTCATAGATTGGAAAAAAGACTTCACACACAGACGTATCAAAGAGATAAAAGTGGATAAAATCAAAAGGAAAAATTGACAAACACATTTTTGGCAAAATATTAAAGAACCAAATCAGCCTCTGATATGATCGTTCTACTGTGAATGACATAGAAAATAAAAGGTCCTCAGTCTGAAAAAGTGGCAGATGAACTCCTCAAGATAAACACGGGTAACACAACATCAGGAAATCACTTGATTTAAAAAGGAATCAATAAAAAAAAGAATCAATACAAATGTAAATGACCCCCGGTGTGTAACGGACGGTTTCTGTTTTCAAACAATTAAACTTGAGAGAAGTTTTTATAATGCTGTTCTGGTTTTACATTTAAGAGGTTTACTACATGAAAGTAATAACTTTGTTTCTACACTGAGTAAAAGTGGACACATCTGAAAATATGAAACAAACTTCTGCAGCTCGTTCAAAGGATCAGGTCCGTGACACTAATAAACAACAGAAGACTAATGTACAAAACAGTTCTCTTCGAGCAACTACTAATGGACTGAAGAGGTATTTGGATAAATGAAAATAAAGGTTCTCCAGGGGAAACACTTGAGATTTATTTTGGTCAAACGTATAAAGAAGCCCTGATCCACTGAAATTTCCGGATCTAAACATCAAATCAATTCATCAAAAGAACAATCGACCAACAAAGCGATTATCAAATGTGTCTTTGATAACTTTATTAATAGAAAAAACTAAATACTCCCCTAATAGGAAGAATGAGTGTGCAGGTAAAATATTTGCTTTGTAAAGTCATTGGAAACAAAACCACTGAGATTAAGAACAAAGATTCTTATTTTGAATCCTCTAAAGTTAGTTTTTTGTTGTGCAATCATCAAACTGAACCCTCAAACCCAACACGACCCAGGATATAAACAAAACCCATGTTAACGCTGCGCACTGATATCCATCTGGAGTTTTCCAGAACCAGAACCGACCCATCTCATACAGACAACCACCCTCCAATCAGAATACAGTTTACAACAGCCACAAAGGAGTAGTGCAGTTGTTTTTAGCAGAAGTAGGATAAGGAAGAACAACTGTAGAATCAGAGACACATTCATCAGCAGCAGCAGAAAGTCTGTGCACAACAACTTCAGCTGCGGTGAACTCTAATGAGAACCAGAACTCTAATGAGAACCAGAACTCTAATGAGAGCCTCTAATGAGAACCAGAACTCTAATGAGAGCCTCTAATGAGAACCAGAACTCTAATGAGAACCTCTAATGAGAACCAGAACTCTAATGAGAACCTCTAATGAGAACCAGAACTCTAATGAGAACCAGAACTCTAATGAGAACCAGAACTCTAATGAGAGCCTCTAATGAGAACCAGAACTCTAATGAGAACCAGAACTCTAATGAGAGCCTCTAATGAGAACCAGAACTCTAATGAGAACCAGAACTCTGAGAACCAGAACTCTAATGAGAACCAGAACTCAAATGAGAACCAGAACTCTGAGAACCAGAACTCTAATGAGAACCAGAACTCTAAGAACCAGAACTCAAATGAGAACCAGAACTCAAATGAGAACCAGAACTCAAATGAGAACCAGAACTCTGAGAACCAGAACTCTAATGAGAACCAGAACTCTAAGAACCAGAACTCTAATGAGAACCAGAACTCTAATGAGAACCAGAACTCTAATGAGAACCAGAACTCTGAGAACCAGAACTCTAATGAGAACCAGAACTCTGAGAACCTGTGTGCACTCATTACGTGAACTGTACGTTTTCCACAGAAACCAAATACTTCTCTCAATCTTCAATTCCATGATTTATTTATTATATTGACAACTTCAAAATAGAGAAAATGTGGATTTGAATAATCATTATTTATTATTAGTCATTCTTTTATCAATTAATCTTGAGCAATCTTGGCATAGTCTCAGGCAGTTACATAATTAACGTCTCTCCTCATGGAAAGTAAGTATTTTTAGGAGAACACATAAACCAATGGGGAGACGGTCGATCGATGAATTCTTGAACACTTTTGAAGTCCCCAAAAAATACAGTTGAATTGAAAGTCATTTTGACCAATCAGGAAGAAGCAGGGTGGGGTTAATTAGAACACTCTCTCTCTCTCTCTCTCTGAACAGTTTCAACATTAATTGATGCCTTAATGATGTAATAACGCTTGCCAAGTCTTTAAGCTGCCCCTTTATTAATAATTATACAAATCGAATTCATATTTTGGTCAATTAAATCCAACCTCTGCGTATGGCTCCGATTGTGTCTTTCTGTTGCGCCATGTCCAAATGTTTACGCACCACATCTGTTGTAATCCCTGTTGTGTTTTTGTGACGATGCTAAGATTATTCATGTGTGTGTGTGTGTTTTCTGCAAGTCCGACGTAGAGACGACCAGGTACTGGACAGTTTATCCTGCAGCAGAAATCCAAGCCATGATTTATTCCCCCTCTGCATGGTACCACCTCTTCACAGCACCTCAACCCAGTCCTGTACATTACAACCCGCAAACATCTCCCAACAAGTCGTCCTTTCCCATAACGCACCTGTGTGTCCCAAAAGAGCTGAACGAGCAGAATATATCGACGCGAGACAGCAGGACGGATCGTTTTCTGGGTGAGGGGATTGTTTTACCGCATTGAGGGGGGAGAAAAAATGCCAGAGAGGAAGAGAAGGGGAGAGATGTCCCAGCTAGAGGTGGGCAATATATTGGATAATTGAAAACATGGCAATAGAATTTTTGGAGATTTGCAAAATGTCGAGTCTATTGCTATGTCTGGTCTAGATGAACTGAAATGCCTGGAAAAGATCCTAAAACATGCAAGTATAATCTTCCAAGCATGCATGCAGTTCCAATCCAAGCATTTTTCATGATTAATTCATTCTCCCACATAATTCGAGCCATATTTTATAGTCTGGATTTATCAAAGAAACTCCTCAAATACTCATTGATAATATTGCCGACCCCTACAGTCCCAGCAGTTTGGGGGACTCCAGCAAGACATGCATGAAGCTGTATACACTGTCACTGAGGGGAGTTCCATGTTTGTAGCGTGACTGCCAGCCCCCCCACCTCCCCCAAAAACAAGCGCGCACACAGTCAGTACCTTGCGTTTCTTATCCCGGGATCTACTCCTCTTCTTGCTCCTCTCCTCCTCTTTCTCTTTGCGCTCTGCCTCCAACTGCGCCTCTAAATCCTTGTTTTTGCGGAGGTGCTTAGCGGCTTGGGCCATGGCTGCGGTGTCTGCTCACTCACTGACGGATGGTGGGTATGTTGCTTGTTTGGGGAGGGGGGGGGGGAAGGGGTAAACGGAGCATAAAAAGGGGGTCCGACGGCAGCAGCCACAGCGATGCTCCGGTCTCTCAGGGCCCCTGCGGACGTTGTCTTCTGCTTTCACACCCTCCTCCCGGTGTGTTGGAGCGGTGCAGTGAGGTTCTGTGTGCCGCACTGCTTCTCTCTCTCTCTCTCTCTCTCTCTCTCTACTTCTCCCTCACTCCTCGTTTGCTCAGCTCCCGCACAACATCCACTCATCGCAAGGTTTAATTACTCCTCAATTAGAGCGTTCGGGTATTCCAGTGATGACGGTATTCGTGATCTGACGTTTACATACGCGCAGAGATAGAAAAACATAGCAACTTTGTAATTAGTGGCCAAATAGTACAGGACATTGTACAGGACATATTTTTATTTGATTGGTTCTTTTTTTATGATTAACTCATACATCTATGAAGTCTGTTTTGGATTTAATTCAAAAGATTTATGGAGATGGAAAGAAAGTAGAGCAGAGATCTGTATCTAAATATACAATAGAAGACTGTAATTGATTCTGGTATCTTTTTATAATACTAACTCAAATAAAAGTATTTGAATGTACAATACAATGTATTCTTGTATAGCCCTAGGTCACAACAGAAGTCATCTCAGAGACTTAACAAAACCATTGAAATCACCAACACAGGTCAGAGAATCAACAGTTAAAACACATGAAGAATATAAAGCACACACAGAAGAAAATGTCCATACATGTTGTAGAATGCTAAAGTGTCCTGATCATCACCAATCCTTTCTGTTGGACACTAACTGTCCAACAAGACCCTCCTGCATCGACAAGGAACAACTCTTAAAAAACCCAGTGGGAAAAAGTGAGAAACCTTGGGGAGAACTAGGGAAACCCACAGGGAGGGAGACCCATTTGGGATACATACAGCTATGTATGTATTATTTTATGTATACAAACAGACGTGGTTACAAATGCAATGCTAGTAACAAGCATTGCAGAGTGATCTCATCTTTACAATCAGGAATACCTAACTGGTGTAAAAACTAAATCATCTCTAAACTTATGTCAAACCCATTTATAAAAATACTAATCTCTTTAGTCTTATTTAAACAAGAGAAGTGTGAAAGTCAAGTCTGATGTTGTATCTCTCTTTCTCTTAAGGAAAACCCCAGGTTCTCTCAAATCAAACACTGAAAGTGGTTTGTTTGTTGCCCTACAGCAAGCACTGACTGAAAATGTGATTCCACAAATATTGTCATTCATCATTTGTAACTACCTTTAAATCACTAGATGGCACTACACTGAAGAATGTGACACACAAAAGGCACCATCTACTTATCACTAAAGCCACAGTTGAATTAATATTCTATCAAAGAAGAAGCACAGATTTATACAGATTTGTGAACAATATTCTAGAGGATTTAATCTATTGTGTTGTGGATAAATGAGAGCAAAAATGAAAGTGTTGTGTTTCCACTTATTATCCTATTTTTGTTCAGTGTCCATTTCTCTCCAAAAAACCCCCTAAAGCCTTTTAGGACCACCGAATGCTGAGAGCCGTCCTTGTCCTTGCTGTGGTGGATTAAGCCTCGCGAACGGCCAGTCTTTATCAAGGAGACATCGTCAGAGATAAAACATGCATGAGGAGGAGAGCGGAGAACCCCACGCCCCACACTATGATGCAGCAAGCGAGCTATAGAAGTGTGTGTGTGTGTGTGTGTGCACGTGTGCACTTGTTTTCAACTCCTGGTGGGTTCCATAACCTGAGATTCCACTCACGTCATGGGGACTGGTTTTACGTGGTGGGGCCCGAACACCGGACCCCACTGGTCCAAGCTTAATAATCAATGGGTAATGCTTTTCTAACGGTCCTTATGCAGTCTCTGTAAAAATATGGAAAGGACCCCTGGAGGTTTACTTTCCTGAAAAAAGTGTGTTATGTGTCGGAACCCTGGTGGTGGGTTGCGGGATATCAAGGAGGGGCACACTGGGGCAATTTCAGTCCAGCAGGCTGGAGCCAATCATGGAGCAGCACAACAGAGGAAATCAGGTGTCAGGCTAGAAAAAGGTGCAAGTGTGTGGTTCATTAGGCTGCAAGAAATCATGGAGGAGCACACTGAAGCGCACGCTTACAAACCACTGGTAAGTGCTGACTACAAGTCATGACTTCAAATTGTTATATAGAATGATTACAAATTATTTGTTGTTTGTGCAGCTTAGTCAAGAGTCCCTAATTGATGAAGTCGACTCAGATTCTGACGATTTAACTGTCAAGAAGAAACCTGTAAAAAAGTATGGAAAAAGAAAAATCAAAATCACTTTTCTTCAAGACTCGGAAAGTGACGAACCAAAGGCAAATAAGATTGTTATCATGCAGCTGCAAAAGAAGAAAAATGGGGGGCGAGTTTACAGCAAGAGACACTTCTGCCTCTACTGTTCAATGTCCTGCCACAAAATGTCCCGTCATTTGACTAGAAAACATGGAAATGAAAGTGACGTAGCCAGAGCATTGGCTCTACCTGTGAAATCTAAAGCACGTAAACTTCAGTTTGATTTGATCAGGAATAGTGGAAACCGTGAGCACAATTTTGAGGTTTTAAAGGCCGGCATTGGAACTTTAGTCCCAGCTAAACAGCCAAATTCCCCAGTTAAATCCAGTGAGTTTTTGCACTGTATAGACTGTGGGGCATTGCTTAAGCGAAAGTCGCTGTGGAGGCATGTGGCCAGGTGCCGGCTTTCACAGAAAGATGCCCAGGCTAAACCAGGTAGAAGTAGGGTCCAGTCCCTCTGCTCCCTAGCCCAGCCTGTACCGGAGGGCATCAGCAAAAAGCTGTGGTCTTTAATTTCGGCAATGCATCAGGATGAGGTCACGGGTGTTGTCAAAGCAGAAAAGGGGATTCTGAGACTCGGAGAGCACCTGTACTTAAAACACGGGCATGATAAGACTAAGCATGATTACATTAGGCAGAAAATGAGAGAAGTCGGTAGGTTAATTAACGAAGCAAAAACCGCAGGGAAACTGAAAACAATTAAGGATTTCTTTATTCCTTCCAACTTTAACCATGTGATTGATGCAGTCAGGTCTGTGGCTGGATATGATGAGGAAACAAATCAATACAAGACTCCATCCTTGGCCCTCAAACTTGGCCATAGCCTCAGAAAGCTAGCAGATATTCTTGAATGTGACTCAAAAATGGAGCATTGTGTTGATGAACTATTTATTAAAAACCTCCAACGAAGCCGGCTGCTTTTTGAGAAGAGGTGGGACGTCTGTGTTTCTTCTGCTGCCCTACAGACCCTCCGGCAAGCCAAGTGGAACACTCCGGACCTGCTCCCTCTGACTGAGGACGTTAGAGCCATGCATGCACATATTGAGGTATGTCGACCTGAATATGTGCAAACCCTAATAAGTGAGCCAACGTCTAAGCATTGGTCTAAACTGGCAGTTTTGACTCTTTGTGAGGTCATCATTTTCAATCGAAGAAGGGAAGGTGAGGTTTCAAAGATGCCACTGACAGCCTTTACCTTAAGAAGTAAGACTGGGATCCATTCTGACATTGCTCTGGGACTGTCCCAACTTGAGAAAAAGCTGTGTCAGCATTTTCAACGCATTGAAATTAAAGGGAAAAGAAGTCGGAAAGTGCCGGTTCTTTTGACTCCTGAAATGATTGCTTCGATGGAGGTGCTGGTGGAGAACAGAAGGGCCTGTTCCATCTCTGACCATAACCCATACTTCTTTTCCCGCCCGGGCGCAGACACCCACATCAGGGGATCAGACTCCCTACGCCAGGTAGCCAAAGAATAATAATAATAATAATAATGCATCGGTTTTATATAGCGCTTTTCTGGACACTCAAAGACGCTTCACATGTGTCATTATTCATTCACTCCATACACGGTGGTGATAAACTACTGCTGTAGCCACAGCTGCCCTGGGGCACACTGACAGAAGCGAGGCAACCAGTATGCGCCATCGGCCCCTCCGACCACCACCAATCATTCACACACACACCAGACTCATTCTAGGCAATGGGGGTGAAGTGTCTTGCCTAAGGACACAACGGCAGTTTGGCACTTTACAGCCGCAGCCGCCCCACTGTGGCTGGTGTTCCCAGAGGTTAAGTGTCTTGCCAAGGACACAACGACAGTAGTCAGAGGGAGTCGATGGTGAAAGTCTTGAGCGGGGCTTGAACCCACGACCTTCTGGCTCAAAGGCCAAAGCTCTACCAACTGAGCTACTGTCGCCACCGCAGAATGTGGTGCGGTGCATCCAGAGATGCTATCCTCAACCAAACTTAGAAAGCACATAGCTACTATGTCTACAGTTCTCAATATGAAAGAGAATGAGATGGACATACTTGCCAACTTCCTCGGCCATGACATTCGCATCCACAGGCAATATTACAGACTACCAGAGGGGACACTGGAGCTGGCCAAAATCAGCAAAGTGTTGATGGCCATGGAGCAGGGAAGAGTGACGGAATTCGAAGGAAAGAGCCTCGACCAGATACAAATTGAGCCTGAAGGTAATTCTTGATATTATTAAAATATGTATGATTTTTTTCCCCTAAAGGCCACTTGTATTTTTATTTTCTGTGCGACAGGGAGAGCAGTAGAGATCCTCTCACAAACGGACGGGCTAAAAGAAACTTCAAGCGGAGAACCTTCAACCATTCATCCAGATGCACCCCATGGTAGTGGCAGTGCCCCTTCTGGTAAGTGTACCAGGTGGGGGATTACAGCCAGGCTGCTTGGTCCTCACCCTGGGAGTGTATATTGCTAATATATTTTTATTTCTCTCCCTAGAACGTGTAAGAAAGCCATGGTCTGCATCTGAGGTGAAGGCTGTGGAGAAGACCATGACACCTTTCATACAGACTGGAAAGGTCCCTGGGAAGTCTCACTGCCTGGCCTGCATTAATGCCTCACCAGATGACCTTAGACATCGGACATGGAGTGGCATTAAATTCTATGTCAAAAATAGAATCACTGCAATTCGAAAACAAAATCTAAAATAAAATTCCTTTAAAATAGTTGTTTGGTTTCTATTGACTGTTTTGTATTACTTAAAGTCTTGGTAAAAAAAGATTATGTCTATGGGTCCCATTCTGAACGGCCCTGTCAAAGGGACCCACCAGGTAACAAAAACGTGTATGTGTGTGTGCACGTGTGTGTGTGCAGGTGTGTGTGTGTGTGTGCACGTGTGTGTGTGCACGTGTGTGTGCGTGTGTGTGTGTGTGCACGTGTGTGTGCGTGTGCGTGTGTGTGTGTGTGTGCACGTCTGTGTGTGCACGTGTGTGTGTGTGTGTGTGTACGTGTGTACTGCTGCAGTGTGTTGTTGTGCTGTGCCCCATTAAAGCCACACAGACGGTTAACGCAGCGGACAAGGGGCAATAGTTTGTTTGTGGATGGATGGATGGATGGATGGATGGATGGATGGATGGATGGATGGATGGATGGATGGATGGATGATGGATGGATGCATGGATGGATGCATGGATGGATGGATGGATGGATGGATGGATGCATGGATGGATGCATGGATGGATGCATGGATGGATGCATGGATGGATGGATGGATGGATGGATGGATGGATGGATGGATGATGGATGGATGCATGGATGGATGCATGGATGGATGGATGGATGGATGGATGGATGCATGGATGGATGGATGGATGGATGGATGGATGGATGGATGGATGGATGGATGGATGGATGGATGGATAGGCTGCATTCTGATTCTACACTTCACATCATCGTAGATGGTGGGCAGGGCACTATGTAGTAGTTATAATGATTGTCTCAATGGAAGAATTACTGTTTGTGAAAGATAGGTCCAACCATAGGATTCACAAAAGTTGAATCTTATTGTCAATTTATAGTTTTTCAGTTAAGTTCCTTTTTTAATTTTGTCTTTTATGAAGAGAACAACATGGCCCAATGCTTCAAATGTTTCGTGATTTGTTTCCTGTTCTAAAATTCTATGTTAGTTTGACAGTTGCCCATATCTCTAACTCTAAAGGAAAGATCTTTGTTTCTAAAATTTTGAAAAAGAAAATGTCCAAATGTTTTTTCCAGATCCACTGCTGTTTGTGAAGATTAAATCTGATGAGGGACGATAGCTTTGCATTTGCTGCCGTCATCTTGGATCTGTAAACAAACAGCTTCCGTCTGTCGCAGAATGCGTCATCGTCGTCTTACTGCCCCTCCCCGTTCTGTAATTGGTCCCCAAAACCATGCAAACATTGTGGCCAGGGTTTCCTGTGTTGCAGTTCAAAATGATTCGAGTGCACACAGCAGGATGGGAAGGTTAGATTGGCCCAGGAATTATAGAAAAATTAGCTCCGAACTAAGACTAGAATTCTGACTTTGACAGTTACAAGGAAAGATATTTCCATCTGCCCTCCACAACAATTATGAAACTATACAGTCAGTGATGCTGTGATGTCACATGAATGCAAACTATAGTTCGGTATTTCTTACACTGCCATCTGCTTTTGTCAGACTGTTCGTATGTAGAACATCTGCCACGGTCTCTTATGGGTTTAATAATCAGTAATGCACTGGTACTTTATTTTGAACAGCTTACTATATTGATTTGTTAAATTGTTATGTTTTTTATGCTTTTGTATTGATTTGTTTTTTATTAGAAAGTACTTCCAGACTTGTAAAGGGGACAATAATTAAAAGGTTGATTGACTGATATCCTATGTTCTTTGGATATGATCATGAGGACCCCCCACGAAAACGGGGTTTATCCTCCAATAAAATGGGAGGAATTAAAGCCATTCTGTTTATCGAGGACAAGACTCCACACACATCGACAAAGAGAGGCTCCTAAAGATCATACGAGGGCTATTTTCATATGTAAAGGATTACAGAAAAAGTTAATATATACATTTAGTTAATATACATTTTCACCAAAAGCTCAACCCCCTTCACAAATCATATATTATGGATATGCTCTGTGTCGACAGTATAGACAGAGCTGCTGGAATATTTCCTGGTATTTAAAACAAATGTAATTATTTCCATATTGATCAAAAGACAGTATAATTGCTTCTATGTATGTATTGCTAATTTATTAATAACCATTGATTTGATTCATTTATCTGAAGCCAGAGCATAGATTTCTTCTTCTTTTTTGCTAAATAAATAAACAGTATGGAGCAGATTACAGACCCCGCCCCCCCGCCTCCCCCCCCCCCCCCCCCCCCCCCTCTCCCCCCCCCTCTCCCCCCTCTCTCCCTCCCCCCCTCTCCCTCGCTCTCCCTCCCTTCCTCTCTCCATCTCTCCCCCCCTCTCTCCCTCTCCCTCGCTCTCCCTCTCTCTCCCTCTCTCTATCTCTCCCCCCCTCTCTCCCTCGCTCCCTCTCCCTCTCTTCCTCTCCCTCGCTCTTCCTCTCCCTCGCTCTCCCTCTCTCCCCCCCTCTCTCCCTCTCCCCTCGCTCCCTCTCCCCCCCTCTCTCCCCCTCCCTTCCTCTCCCCCTCTCCCTCTCGCTCCCCCTCTCTCCATCTCTCCCTCTCCCTCTCGCTCCCTCTCTCCCTCTCCCTCTCTCCCTCTCCCTCGCTCCCTCGCTCTCCCTCTCTCCATCTCTCCCCCCCCTCTCCCTCTCCCTCGCTCCCTCTCTCCCTCCCTTCCTCTCCCCCTCTCTCCATCTCTCCCCCCCTCTCTCCCTCCCTTCCTCTCCCTCGCTCCCTCTCTCTCCCTCTCCCTCCTCCTCTCCCTCTCCCCCCCCCCCTTCCTCTCCCTCTCTCTCCCTCTCCCTCTCGCTCCTCTCGCTCCCTCTCTCTCCCTCTCTCCCTCTCCCCCCCTCTCTTCCTCTCTCTCTCTCCCTCTCTCCCCTCGCTCCCTCTCCCCCTCTCCCTCCCTCTCCCTCTCTCCCCCTCTCCCTCTCTTCCTCTCCCTCTCTCCCTCGCTCCCTCTCTCCCCCTCTCTCCCTCCCTCTCCTTCTCTCCCTCGCTTCCTCTCTCCCTCTCCCCCTCTCCCTCGCTCTCCCTCTCTCCCCCTCTCTCCCTCTCTCTCCCTCGCTCCCTCTCCCTCTCTCTCCCTCTCTCCCCCTCTCCCTCTCTTCCTCTCCCTCGCTCCCTCTTTCCCCCTCTCCCTCGCTCTCCCTCTCCCTCTCTCCCCCTCTCCCCCTCTCCCTCCCTCTCCCTCTCTCCCTCTCTCCCTCTCTTCCTCTCCCTCTCCCCCTCGCTCTCCCTCGCTCCCTCTCTCCCTCTCTCCCTCTCTCCCCCTCTCCCTCTCCCTCTCTCTCCTGCATTTCTGCTGACGTCCACAAAAGCTGCAGTTACATCTCTCTCTGGCTGCCGCTCATAAATCGCACTCTGCTGTACACACCCTTGTCCAGCCTCACTTACACATGAGACACTGCAACACATTTGCTCTTATAGATTTCACTGATGACGTCATTCACAAACAGCGATGGGAGTGGAGTGATAACCAAAATGATTCATTTCACTGGGTTTGTGGAAAAAGCATTGTTTAACCCTGGATCACACAGACGGCGACTGCGTTCCAGTGCAGCAAACGCAGCAAACGCAGTCTTTCCGTAAACTGAAAGATCATGACGAGGTCTCACACAGCGCACCATGTTTGGGGAAGTATGCTTAATTGTTAGGGCTGTCCCAAAAATCAAAAGATCAAATTATCGCAATATCGATTATCGAGCTTTAAATTTGGATAAAGAGACTTCGAATGTGTCAGAAACAGCAGAACGGGCTGAAGAGTTTCGTTCACTGAGAAAAGGTACAGCTTCTCTTTACCTCCTTTCACATGGTTTTGATATTTCTCTTCAGCACAGTATAATCACTCCCCCCTCCCTCTAACTATCTGCAGCTCACTCATGAGAGGGGAGCGAGCTGCTCCAAGTCTCTGCTTCTGTCTGATTGTTATAATACATTTTTTGTAAAGTAAAAACTGCTTTCTCACAGTTTATGACAGAAACATTAGGTCTGATTGAAGCACATGGACAGAACTTTGCATGTGCTTCCGTGTTTTTTCCACTAGTGGTGAGGCGAGCACACGTGTTCAGAATGTGGGTAAGTACAGACGTGTTAATGCAGGCTTTAAATGTGGAAACATGTGTCGTTTACTGTGACATTCTGCTCTCAGCACGAAGCAGTGTGTCATAGATTGAGAAACGAGAAGCACAACAAATTACAGTATATTACTCCATCCATCCATCCATCTTCTTCCCCTTAATCCATTTCTGGGTCAGGGGGGTGGCAGTCAGAGCTGCACCCAGTACACACAGCACCAGCCCCTCACTGATCCTCCTGCAGGTGGTGAGTCCACAGGGGCCTTGCTCTTTCAGAGGGGGCTTCAGGCAAAATGGGGTTAAGTTTCTCGCCCAAGGACACAACAACAGACATCAGTGGGAGTCGTAAAGATCTTTTGATGGGCTTGAACCCACAACCTTCAGGCCTAAAGGCCAATGCTTTACCAAATGAGCCACTGTCGCCCTAATGACATTACTATTTTTTTACAAATATTCAGTATTAAATGAATGTCACTTGAGGATGATGGTCCATCTTGATCCAGTTCCTTGAAGGACAGTGTTGTAGTTTAAATGCTGTATGTCTTTGTTTGTCATGGATTGATAGATACTTTATTTGTCTCACAAAGGGAAATTCAAAACCTTTTATTCAAGTCTGACTCATCGATCAATGTCCCTACGGCCTCTGACAGGAGCTATGGTCACACCTGCGTTCATGGCAAGAGAAAATGGATTATGCTACAAATGGGATTGGTCCAAATGGTAGTTTTGGCTTAATAGTCAAACTTAGGAACTGTAAGTGGAATTGTAAATAAAATTGCTATCATTGAACATACAGCAGTGCAAGCACACTTATGGGTAAATCATGTGACATTTAGACTGACTCAAAGTAAAGATTGAGACAAACTCAAATTCATTGATTTTCCACGGTGCAATAACGAAAAAAGATAGTGAAACACGTGCGGTCAGTATTAGTGAGACTCCTTTATACAAAATAGTACAAGCGTGCACCAAAAGGCATCTGCTCATCTCAATAGTTTTGTGGTTCCCTGTTTAAATAATCGGACTAAAGCCTAGTGTATACTTGCGCGGCGCTGCTTACGTTAGCGGTGGCAGTGGACCTACGCAAGCACAATTTGATTTATACTCCTTGCGGAGTTTTGAGGAGAATGTTGTAATCCCACAACCAACCACACGATGGCGATCTCACAGGAGTTGCTTGAGATACCAAAGCGGTCTCATTTACGCTGCTATTCTCTCCTCTTTAGAACAAAAACATGAACAAACCGAGCTGTTTGAGATCATTACACGTGTTTCTACTGTAGGTTTATGTGATAGTTCCATGGACTCAATATTTCTTCACTCATTTAACTGTGATGTTGTGAATAAAGACACAGCTCTTGTTGGAAACATAGTTATTGTTAAATTGTATTCAGCACAAACAGCAAAACAATAGGTTTTTACACGCTTGTAAAAGCGAACTGGGCCACACAGGGGTGTGAAAACGGCCCGCGGTCACATGAACTTGCAAACGTGCCAGAGTGCTGTAGTACAACACTTGGTCCAGCTGGTGGCGCTAATACAAACTCCAGCAACGACCTTGTTGTCCTGGTTCAGTTTCCGTTTCTCTTCCTGTTTACGCTCTGCTACTGTAGCTAACAAATCGAGTACGTGTCACGTTGTTTAGGGAAAGACACATCTCACACTTGTTCACATTGCTCTGATGCAAAGTGGGTAACGTGTGTGCGCACGCGTGTGTGTGTGTGTGTGTGTGTGCCCCGCGGACTCGAGTGCACGCACACATACACACACACACTCTTTAGTATAGAGCGTAAGAGCGCTGAGAAATGAATGAACAAGAATGAATTTAAATGAATGAATTTAAATTTAAAATAGGGTTACAATTACTATATACAATATACAAGTGCACATGGTGCACACAATGTAAGGTGACAGCAGTACAGTGAAGTAAAGTGACGTATGATGGGCAGTAAAGTGACTTTATAAAGGGCGGGGGGACAGGTTAAGAAGTGTTCAAGAGTCCAACAGCAGAGGGGAAGAAACTGTTCTTGTGGCGAGAGGTTCTAGTCCTGATGGACCGCAGCCTCCTGCCTGAGGGGAGTGGTTGGAATAGTCCATGTGCAGGTGAGAGGGGAGTGGTTGGAATAGTCCATGTGCAGGGTGAGAGGGGTCGGCTGTGAGAGGACCAGCCCGGCCTCGAGCTCGGGCAACGTACAGGTCCTGCAGCGATGGAAGGCTGCGGCCGATCACTTCCTCTGCAGAGCGCACAATGCGCTGTAGTCTCTGTTTGTCCCTGACACATAGCACCTAAAGCCCGGATCTAATCGCGAAGTGGGTCCTGGCCCTCTTAAAGTGCCGGAGGGCCGAGCGGAAGTGGCGCAAGTCCAACCTCCAGGTTGATTACGAGATCTTCAAAGATAAGTTGTGCGAGTTTAACCGGGTGCTACGTAGTACGAGAGAAAGGTATTTTTCTGAAATGATTGAAGGCTGCAGTAACAACCTGCGTGTTCTGTTCTCAACAGTTAATAGATTAACAAACCCCCCTGTTCAAATGCCATTAGGGCTTACTTTCAAACGTAAATGCAATGAGTTTGCACATTTTTTCAATGACAAGGTTCAAGGCATCAAAAACGCCATTGTCTCCAATCCACAGACAACAATCCAACAGCCAGAAAGGCTCTTTGAGCTAACTTACTTTGCACCTGTAAATGATCAAACAGTCCAAGAGATAATCTCCAGTTTGAGCTCCTCCACATGCAGCTTGGATGTACTACCCACTAGATTTCTGAAGTCTGTTCTGAGCAGTCTGTTACCTTCACTCACACAGATAGTAAACATGTCCCTTCAATCTGGAATATTCCCAAAGGCCCTGAAAACTGCAGTCATCAGGCCCCTGCTAAAAAAGAGCAGTCTCGATGCTACGGTACTTAACAACTATCGTCCCATCTCAAATCTGCCATTTATGGGGAAAGTCCTTGAGAAAGTTGTCTACCTACAGCTTACTAGATTTCTTATAATCAACAACTCATTTGATATGTTTCAGTCCGGCTTTAGACCCCACCACAGCACTGAGACTGCTCTTGTCAAGGTTACAAACGATATCCGGCTAAACACTGACGCAGGCAAAGTCTCAATCTTAATCCTGTTAGATCTGACTGGGTTGGCGTCACTGGCACCGCCCTAAGTTGTTTCTTACCTTGAAGACAGGAAGTACTTTGTGGAGATTGGAAACTGTGTCTCAGATCATATGGCCCTGACCTGTGGAGTCCCACAGGGGTCGATCCTGGGACCTCTTCTGTTCAATCTCTACATGCTGCCGTTAGGTCAGTTAATACGCAGAAACGACGTTTCCTATCATAACTATGCAGACGACACTCAGATCTATGTCTCACTGACTGCAGGAGAACATGGACCAGTGGACTCACGCCTTCACTGTATCCAACAGATCAGTGAGTGGATGCAAAACAACGTCCTTCAGCTAAACGCAGACAAAACTGAAATGATTGTCTTTGGTCCCCAGAAACAAAGAGAGAGCGTCATCTGTCACCTACAGTCTCTCTCCCTAAAACCTTCAAACAAGGTCAGAAATCTTGGGGTAATACTGGACTCAGACTTAAATTTTAACAGCCACATCAAATCAGTAACATCAGCAGCTTTTTACCATCTAAAAAACATTTCCAGGATCAAAAACATAGTGTCTAAAGCAGACTTGGAGATTCTTATCCATGCATTTGTCTCCAGTAGGTTAGACTACTGCAATGGCCTGCTCACAGGTCTGTCCAAACAGGCTGTAAAACAGCTGCAGTACATTCAAAATGCAGCAGCTCCAGTCCTGACTAGAACCAGGAAGTACGACCACATTAGTCCTGACTAGAACCAGGAAGTACGACCATATTAGTCCGGTCCTCAGGTCTCTGCACTGGCTTCCTGTGGCTCAGAGAATAGACTTTAAAACAGCTCTGCTTGTTACAAGTCTCTCCATGGCCTCGCACCAAAATATATTAGTGACATGTTAGTCCCATATGAACCAGCCCGGACTCTGAGGAGCACAGGGACTGGACTCCTGCTGGGACTCTGAGGAGCACAGGGACTGGACTCCTGCTGGTCCCAGACTCAGGACTAAACATGGGGAGGCTGCTTTTCAGATTCATGCTGCTAAAATCTGGAACAGTCTTCCTGAAGATGTGAGACAGGCCTTCTCTCTGACAATGTTTAAAACCAGGTTAAAGACAGTTCTGTTTAGCTGTGCTACAACTGAAGGATTTTATATTTTTATCTTTCTTTTTAATTTTCTGTGATT